CTTTCCTTCAGTGACATCTCTTCCCAAGGACCTGCCCACCCAAATTCTGGAGACAGCACCTGCCTACATATTGCTAAATAGATTGATTACCAGAACCCCGTGGAATGCTCTCCCATCAGATGACAAGGAGATAAATAACTATACAACTTTTAGAAGACATCGGAAGGCAGCCCTGTATAGGAAGTTTTAAATGTTCTGTGTTTTATTATGCTTTTATGTTTGTTGGAAGCTGCCCAGAGTGGCTGGGACAACCTATTCAGATGGGCGGGGTAAAAATAATAATAAAATAATAATAATAATAATAATAATAATAATAATAATAATAATAATAATAAAGAGCTCACAACAGACTCCTCCAAAGGGTGCTTATCTTTCCCAATCCTCCATCACTCACAGAAGGGGGATCAGCACATTTTCAGCTGCTTTGTCTAAAAACTGCCAAATGAAATTTGGGGAGGAAGAAACAGAGGGACCTTTCGACGACGTATTGATGAGATCTCATTAGGCACTTAATAAATCCTCGCCGGGCGAAAGGGGGAATCACTTGGCACCAGCCTGCTGGGGTTGGGGGAGGAACGTGGCCGCCAACCAATTCCCTTAATTGACTGGCCTTGTTAATTGACTAACCTTTTACACCCATTTTTACAACTAATAGAGAGGAATAAAATTCAGAGCGCAGGGCTCCCGGTTTGAGCATTCCTCTGGGAGGCGTCTCACCATTAATTCCAAGGTCAGCGCAGTCCACGGGGCCTGCCGGGGAGATGGATTATTCTCTCCATGTTGGGAAGAAAATCCATTATCAAGGGCACAGCTGTAAGAACCAGCTTGTTCACCCAGTTTCACAAGGGCTTGTTCAGAGACCCCGCTGGTTGGTAGAGGCCGCTTACACAAGATCAGCATCGGAGGGGAAGAAATACGCCAAACTGGAGGGGCGCAGAGGGGGAGTCAGTGGGCTGCGTCCGATGGAGTGCTAAATAACTCGCACCATCGATGCAAGGATTCACACTTGCGCAGTAGAACTTTTTCCCCTTCTCCTCTCCCCACGCGACCCTGAAATCTGTTCTGTGGGTTCCCCAAATCTTCCAGATCGGATTTGAGGAGGGGGAGATTAGCACTGGGCAAGCACAAATCTTCATCGAAGCAGAAAAAGTGCGATGGATACCCCCCAGTGTTGGAAAGACTCAAAGACCACTTGGCTACAACTCATCTCTCATCTGAAGGCCCAAAGACTAGCCGAGATATGGGGGTCTTACAATCCAACCATGTTCAGGACTGGACTTTGGTGAGTTGAGATGATAGATAGATAGATAGATAGATAGATAGATAGATACATACATACATACATACATACAGTGGTACCTCGGGTTAAGTACTTAATTCGTTCCGGAGGTCCGTACTTAACCTGAAACTGTTCTTAACCTGAAGCACCACTTTAGCTAATGGGGCCTCCTGCTGCCTCCACCCCACCGGAGCATGCTTCCTGTTCTCATCCTGAAGCAAAGTTCTTAACCTGAAGCACTATTTCTGGGTTAGCGGAGTCTGTAACCTGAAGCATATGTAACCTGAAGCGTATGTAACCCAAGGTACCACTGTACATACATAGATAGATATAGATCAATAGGAGAGAGAGGGAGAGAAGTCACCATCTAAACCTAAACTACACCACTTAGAGGTGATTGTAATTAAGTGGTATAGAAATTTAAGTCCATAAATGAGAGGAAAAATGCCTTGGGCGCAGCAATGATGCTAACAGCCCTTTATTTTCAGCTGCACCTCTTTTAAAAGGGATTGCGTTGTTTCTTCAAGGCCCTTTGTGTCAAGGCATTCACAGTCCAATGAAATTAGCCCAATGAAACGAAAGTCATAAAGAGGTGTCAGCTCAAGGTCAGGCAATCCTCAAGGCTTGCTCACACCTGCAAGCAAACCCCCTGGGGCCTGCAACATCAAGCAGTTACATGCATGTGCAAATGCGATTCCGCTCACATGTTCAGCAGCAAGGCACGTGGCTCGTGGGACACCTGTCCTCTGCCCCACTTTCCAGCAAAGCTACCCAGGCCAGTGATCTCACACCACATTTATTTCCAGCGCTTATCAGGCCATCCTGAGGGAGCTGGAAGAAATCTCCTCCTCTCATCAAAGTGACACCTTCTTATCAGGCACCAAGGCGAGTCCCATCCACAACTCAATTACCAGCTTTTACTGATTCAGAAGCTGGGACTCTCAGCCCCAGCCAACATGGTCTAAATGTGTCAATCTGTTCGGAACACCCTCCAGCCTCCAGGCGCAATCGCACCATTTTTCTTGTCCTGGCATCTCAGTAAACAAACACATGAGCTACTTTAGCCAAGAGAAAGCTCTTTTTGCCAACTCTACTCACATAGTGGGGGGAGATTTTTTGGGAGGGGTTAGGGGTTTTGCTCTTTGAGCAAAAAACAACAACAGACCTTTCTGCCCTTTGTTAAAAAGGGACCTCTGCATACAAGATTCAAAACTGTTGAGCAACACAAGTTCAGTCGTGGGAGACTGGAAGATGGCAACAAGGTGAAGGACTTGGGACCACACAGCGGTGGGAAAGGGGACGAGGTATCAGCATGAAAGAGGGAACACACACACAATGGATTGTGCTGTGGAAAGCAAAATCAGCAGCCGAGAGCACAGGGTGTTTGCTTTTTGAAGATCCTGGCAGTGAGCAGATATTGTAACAATTCTGGGGAACGCAGCAACCTGCTCACATGCCAGGGCTGAAGGTGCCCCCTTTGTCCTACATGCCCCCCGCTGTGGAGTCACTAACCAAGGTTGTCACTCATCAAGAGAGGGCGCAGTGGGCACATGGGACGGTGTCGCGAGTCCAGAGTCCAGCAGCAAGCAAGACACAGAGTCAGAGGCTGCAGTCACCGGCCGAGGATCAGGCTGAGGCTCTTGGAGATCAGGAGGTCACAGAGCCTGGAGCGGACAGACAGGAGTCCACAGAACCATCTCCCACACTGCAAGGGGGAGACCCAGGACTCTCGTGGGCACCTCCCTCTGATCTTGGGGAAGCAGATGCCTCCCACAGCATCTCACTGGTGTGGCAGCGTAAGAAGTACAGGGGTGGGAGGCCTGGGAGCCTGGCAGACAGACAGGAGGTGGGACAAGCAGAGGCCTTTGTTGGAGCAACTTGCTCAGTCGGAGCTCTCCATGGTTCTGCAATTTCTGAGCCCGCCTTATCCCATCAGGACCAACACCAGGGCAAATAGGGGTGGGAATTGATTGAAGTATGACAGCACTTTTGCAAGGTCAGTTCTCCAACACAGACATCTGGCGTGCAGAAAAGGGATACTGGAAATTTTCTGCTGATAGACGGTGGAGGGCCGGGCAAACAGAACTTGGGAACTCAAGGACCGCCTCTTTCCATATGAACCTACACGGACCCTGAGATTATCTTCTGAGGCCCTCCTTTGTGTGCCTCCTCCTCAAGAGGTCCGGAGGGTGACAACACAAGAACGGGGCCTTCTCTGCAGTGGCTCCCCGTCTGTGAAAGTTCGCCTGGCGCCTTCATTATACAGCTTTAGGTGTCAGGCAAAAATGTTCCTTTTTAACCAGGCCTTTGGTTGACCTGATCAACATCCTATACCCTTTTAAAATGTGGCTCTTTTTTGGGGGGGGGAGTATTATTGGGTTAGTGCTTTTATTCTGATTTTATATATTGTGATCTTTCTGGTGAACCTTCTTGAGACTTCCAGGTATAGGACGGTATATAAATTCAATAAATAAATAAGAACAAAAACAGCTGGTTTCACACATGCTTGTCAGGAGTAATTCTCAGTCCTCCCTGCATTACAGGGGGTTGGACTAGATGGCCCTTAGGGTCCCTTCCAACACTACAATTATATGATTCCCCTAGTGAGGCAGCATCTTCTATATGCTTTTGTTCAAGACCAATCATGTCAAAAACAAGCAAACCCCCATATAAAGAGGCAGGTCTCCAGGGGGTTTAAATATAGTTCTGTCAACAGGGTGATAAACTTGACACAACATTTGGAGACCATGAACTACCTTAAACGCACACAGGGACACACACACACTCCCTCTTTCAATCTGAGCTCCCATCTCGACTCTTTATCCACCAAGGTTGCTATGAAAATCCTTTACCTCCTCGCAGTCATTGTTGGAGATGCAAGATGGCTGGGCTTCCTCGTTCAGAGGCTCGATCACTGTCACCTCCGCAAAGTCCTCCACGGATTTCTGAAACTCCGGCAGAGATCGCCTCCCATAGCGTTTCCCACCTTTGATGTATTTGGGTTGGGCTTCTGGGGAAGAATCTGCAAGCAAGAAACGGAATCCAAGATGTTATAATAATAATAATAATAATAATAATAATAATAATAATAATTTATTATTTGTACCCCGCCCATCTGACTGGGTTTCCCCAGCCACTCTGGGCGGCTTCCAACAAAGATGAAAAATACACTAAAATGTCACATATTAAAAACTTCCCAGAACAGGGCTGCCTTCAGATGTCTTCTAATAGTCTGGTAGTTGTTTTTCCCTTTGACATCTGATGGGAGGGCGTTCCACAGGGCAGGCGCCATGACCGAGAAGGCCCTCTGCCTGGTTCCCTGTAACTTGGCCTCTCGCAGTGAGGGAACCGCCAGAAGGCCCTCGGAGCTGGACCTCAGTGTCCGGGCAGAACGATGGGGGTGGAGACGCTCCTTCAGATATACTGGACCGAGGCCGTTAGGTAATGTGTGCTTTGGAAAGAAACGAAAAGAGGTGCCCCTGTCCTGGGAGTGATGCAAGAGTTTTCTTATTCCTCTAGGAACAGAGGAAGCTGCCCTATACTGTGTCAAGCCATTGGGTCCACTTAGTTCAGTATTGCAGGCACTGACTGGCAGTTGCTCTCCAGGGCTGCAGGCAGCAGACATTCCCAGTCGTACCTGAAGACTCCAGGAACTGAATCGAGCAACTTCTGCAATGCAAAGCCGGTGCTTCCAAACTGAGCTGAGCCCAAACCAACCAACAGACCCCACCGGGATCCGAACCCAGGATTCCCTGTTTACCAAACAAGCCCTTTGACCAACTAAGCTACATTTCTGCGCCATTGTATGCCTGACCTCACTTGCAAGAAACCGCGGGAGAAATGTGACCATCTCCCCAGAGCCAACATCTTTCTGGCATCAGGCGAAGGTGTTTTTATTTAGCCAGGCCTTGGACCTTGTTATTGGCCTTTCATGCTGTTGTGGCTACAACCTGATTTTCTTCCCGCTAGGCTTTTTGTTGAAATCCGATGTTTTTAAGAATGGTTTTATTCTGGGGCCTCTCCAAAGAGCAAAAAATAAACCGATCGTAAAATTGCAAGGATTCAGCAGCATGAGATGAGGAGACAGAAAGACGGGGCACATATTAGAATACTCCGAGAAATCCTTTGGAAGCCCAGACTGAGAGCAGCTCCAGTGTCGCCGTGGCGATCCCTTTTATACAAATTCCCTCTCGGAGCTTGTTAGTGCAAATGTATTCGCCAGCTTAGCTATGCAATGAATTATAAAATACACAGGACCAGGAACCCTTTGATATCCCTCTCTCTATCCCCCTCCCCCGGACTTGCACCCCATCCATGCATATTGCAAACCCTGGGGAACGCAGGCGGGCGTGCGGCTGTTTGAACAAGGCAATTTTAACAAGATTTCCTGCAGCTGGAGCCTGGACATGAAAGCCATACGATGAAGTGCGCAGATAGGGAAAATCAGAAACGAGACAGGCTGATTAAATAAGACCCAGAAGAACAAAAGCAAACCTTATCATCACCATTAAAGCTGGGCTGCTGGCAATTGGTAGCCTACAGAATCTCTCTGCCATGTTAGCTCTGGTAGATTCTCTATGGCCCGTTCATTTTCTTGCTTTGCCTTGAAAAACTGGGGTGGGGGGGGGGTTATTTCATTACAGCAAAGCGCAATTGGATTTCTCCAAAGCAGAGACAAGCTAACCCACCATGGTGTGTGTATGTGTGTGTGTCCTGTGCCAGGAGAGATCTGGGGGGAATTGCCAGGGCACTGTGACAACAGACCTCCTTGCGAGACTTAGCCCAGGTTTGCTTCAGCCAAAGCAACAAAGGAAGTCCTGCTCAGCTATGCCGGAATCCCCTTTAAAGATACTGCAACGCAAACGATTGAAGGAATGAGTTTGCCTGCACCTATTCAGATTACGAGTGGGGGTCCACATAGAATCATAGTCAGAATCTCCTATCTCGTAATTTGAAGCCATGGGTTCGAGTCCTGCCCTCCAGAGAAGGAAAAAACAAGCCTGTGCCATCTTCCGTGTGACAGCCTCTAGATACAGTGGTACCTCGGGTTAAGTACTTAATTCGTTCCGGAGGTCCGTTCTTAACCTGAAACTGTTCTTAACCTGAAGCACCACTTTAGCTAATGGGGCCTCCTGCTGCTGCCACACCGCTGGAGCATGATTTCTGTTCTCATCCTGAAGCAAAGTTCTTAACCTGAAGCACTATTTCTGGGTTAGCGGAGACTGTAACCTAAAGCGTATGTAACCTGAAGCGTATGTAACCTGAGGTACCACTGTATTTGAAGATGGCTATCATCTCTCCTCTCTGTCTTCTCTTCTCCAGGCTAAACATACCCAGCTCCTTCAACTGTTCCTCATAAGGCTTGGCTTCTAGACCCTTGATCATCTTAATTGCCCTCCTCCGCACACATTCCAGCTTGTGGCGCCCAGAACTGGATACAGGACTCCAGGTGTGGTCTGACCAAGGCAGAAGAGAGTGGGACTGTTACTTCCCTTGATCTGGACACTAGACTTCTGTTGATGCAGCCTAGAAGAGAATTAGCTTTTTTTTTGCTGCTGCACCACACTGTGGACTCATGTCAAGCTTGTGATCCACTAAGACTCCTAGATCCCTTTACCCATGTACTGCTAGCAAGCTACATGTATGACTAGTAAGCCAGGTGACTGAATGCTCTTCCATAAAGTCCACACATACATGCACCTTTTCAGATAAAGCTAGATATAAATAAAATTTATTATTATTATTATTAGAAGACAGGGAGGAAGCTCAGCTCTGCCCTCGCTGGTCCTGGAAGGATCCTTTAAAAAAGTCCCATATGCTCAGACACTTTACGCCTGTTCATTGGGGGAGATAGGAAGCCCAGAGCACTTGTTCTTTAGATGTCCCTTTTATGAAGAGGCACATAGTGAGACCATTGATCCCCTGCTGGTGAGGCTCGCTGACCTCCCGGAAAAGCAAAAATTCAACCTTTTCCTGACCTCCCGGAAAAGCAAAAATTCAACCTTTTCCTGTTAGGCAAAGATCATAAGATGACCCGGATGGTTGCCAGATTCTGTGTACAGATCGGTAGGCGCAGACCATCCCCTGACCCAAACTAGTTCGTTAAGAAAATCCCCAAACTCGGTTCCATGGGTGACTCTGGGTCATCTCTCTGCGGTAGTTTATCTTAAAGTTTAAGTGTCTATACGCTTATCGCATGTATAAATTTCAAATTTATTGTTGTACATTGTTTTAAATGTTTGTTTTCCCTCTGGGATTGTACCCCAAGTGTGCTTTATAAGCTGGTCTTTGACTGTAATAAATTATCTATCTATCTAAAGTAAAGGTAAAGGGACCCCTGACCATTAGGTCCAGTCATGGCCGATTCTGGGGTTGCAGCGCTCATCTCGCTTTATTGGCCGAGGGAGCCGGTGAACAGCTTCCGGGTCATGTGGCCAGCATGACTAAGCTGCTTCTGGCGAACCAGAGCAGCGCAAGGAAACGCCATTTACCTTCCCGCCAGAGTGGTACCTATTTATCTACTTGCACTTTGACGTGCTTTCACACTGCTAGGTTGGCAGGAGCAGGGACCAAGCAACGGGAGGGATTTGAACTGCTGACCTTCTGATCAGCAAGCCCTAGGCTCTGTGGTTTAACCCATAGCGCCATCTGCATCTCTATCTATCTATCTATCTAGGAGAAAAATCCTGCTAGTCTTATATTCTCCCTGACACGCTGGCTTCCTTCCACTCACCTCTTTTGTTCCCCACAGAAGAGCACTGACTCACAGAAGCCCAACTCTACAATTTGAAGTGGTCAACTGCAAAAGGAGAAATCTTGCGCTGGATCAGACCAATGATCCGTGTAGTCCAGCATCCTGCTCTCCCAGTGGCCAAGCAGATACCTCTGTGAAGCCCGAAAGCAGGAGCCAAGTGCAAGAATGATGTCATTTGACTTGACAGAGGAGGCAGAACCGTCAGGGGAAGTGCTGTGGCTCAGAGATGGAGCACCCTCTTTTATACATTTCCGTATATATTTTATAGTACTTTTCCGAGCACAAATCAAAGTGTTGGGGTGACCTTTAAAGCCCTAAACGGCCTCGGCCCTGTATACCTGAAGGAGCATCCAATGAAGGAACATTAGGAAGAACTTCCTGACAGTGAGAGCTGTTCGACAGTGGAATTTGCTGCCAAGGAGTGTGGTGGAGTCTCCTTCTTTGGAGGTCTTTAAGCAGAGGCTTGACAACCATATGTCAGGAGTGCTCTGATGGTGTTTCCTGCTTGGCAGGGGGTTGGACTCGATGTCCCTTGTGGTCTATTCCAACTCTATGATTCTATGATCTCCACCCCCATCGTTCTGCCCAGGCACTGAGGTCCAGCGCCGAGGGCCTTCTGGCGGTTCCCTCATTGCGAGAAACCAAGTTACAGGGAACCAGGCAGAGGGCCTTCTCGGTGGTGGCACCCGCCCTGTGGAACGCCCTCCCATTAGATGTCAAATAAATAAACAACTATCTGACGTTTAGAAGACATCTGAAGGCAGCCCTGTTCAGGGAAGTTTTTAATGTTTAATGCTGTATTGTGTTTTTAATATTTTGTTGGAAGCCGCCCAGAGTGGCTGGGGAAACCCAGCCAGATGGGCAGGGTATAAATCAGGCTTCCTCAACCTCAGCCCTCCAGATGTTTTTGGCCTACAAATCCCATGATCCCTAGCAAGCAGGACCAGTGGTCAGGTATGACGGGAATTGTAGTCTCAAAACATCTGGAGGGCCGAGGTTGAGGAAGCCTGGTGTAAATATATAAATTATTATTATTATGATTATTGATTATTATTTTTATGATTATTATTATACAAAAGTTTCCAGGTTCAATCCCCGACATCTCCAGGTACCACTGGGAGAGGCTGCCAGTCAGTGCAGACAGCCCTGAGCTAGATATGCCCAATGGCCTGACTCGTAATACGAGGCAGCTTGCTTCCTAACACAGCCACTATAGCTAGTATCCTTAGAAGAAGAAGAACACTTTGGATTTGATATCCTGCTTTATCACTACCCGAAGGAGTCTCAAAGCAGCTCACAATCTCCTTCCCCTTCCTCCCCCACAACAAACACTCTGTGAGGTGAGTGGGGCTGAGAGACTTCAGAGAAGTGTGACTGGCCCAAGGTCACCCAGCAGCTGCATGTGGAGGAGCGGGGAAGCGAACCCGGTTCCCCAGATTACGAGTCTACTGCTCTTAACCACTACACTGCACTGGTAGCATTTCCTTGTGCCTTTAGACAGGGCATAGCCGGCACTGTGGTGCAAATATCTCTCTGACGCGCCCCCCCCCATTTCCCAGAGTTTTTAAGGAGGGGGACTTTGGTCTGGCTCCTTTACATCATGTGGTCTGACACGCGCTCAGCGCTGCACATAAGAGGCGCCCAGATCGCAGCCCAGATGGCCTCCAGTGAATCTTTGCTCTAAGCGCCCGGTGCCCCTTACCGGCCCCTGTCTAGGGAAGTCTGCGCCACAGGAGCGCCAGCAAGCAGATAAGGTGGCTTGCCAGCTGTGCCATCCTCGCTCGGTGCTGGGATCGCACAGGGCGCTTCCCTTTTCCGCTTGCAGACTCCACAGGGATGCACACAGGCAGCGATGTGGCCAGAAATGGGTGCCCCATCCCTGGCCCTGATCGCACCCGTCAGGCAGCCCTGGCGGGAGGAGACGCGAAGGGGCTTCTAACCACTACACCACACTGGCTCACATGAACACTGGCTTCCTGAACTTGCCTGATCCCCTTTTTATAAAAATATCCAAGCTGGTAGCCATGCCCACACCTTATTAAGGGG